CTGCAAGCTGAAGTGCTCACTCACTAAATGCTTGTTGATGGGAGGATTCTGATTAGCTTCCCACCTCCCCGCATGCTGGCCCCTCCCACAGGCATGCAAGCTCCTCTTCCTCCCCTGCCGCAGGAGGGTGGGGCTAGGGCTGATAGGTTAAAAGCCAGCATCTGGGGACCCCTTAATGCTGGGTGCCCCGTGGAGCTTGAGCCTTAGCATGGCTGCCTCCAGCTCTGTAAGTCCACTGGCTGCCCTTTCTGGAGCAGGGGCCCAGCTGGGGTGATGGATATAGGAGTGGGCTGCAGACAGAGTCAGGGCTCCCAGGTGACCCTGTCTCTTCTTTGGTCAGGCAAGTGAAGCCGAGGGTGGACTCCAAACCTTGGAGAAGAAGAAAGAGGAGGAGGAGGAGGAAGAGGAGAAGGAGGTGGCAGAGTCAGTGTGCCTGTGGGAGCAAAAGCAAGAGGAGGCAGCTGTGGCGGCATGCTTTGGAGACGATGCTCCAAACTTTCTTGGGACTGGGACTTTGCTGTCTCTGAGGATGAAAGCTCAGGACAAGGGGCCCGTGGAGAACAAACTAGAGTTGCACCCCTTGCAGAACAGGTAAGGAGGAGAGTGAAGAACTGGACTGGACCCCTGTGGCTGGGCCATCCTCTGTGCTCCCTGGTCGTGTGGCCTCGGACTACCCCTTCTGCTCTGGACTCAGTTCCACATCTGTGAAATGTCTGCGCTGGCCTAAGCACTGGGCCTGTGGACTCTTCCAGCGTTACCCAGCTGAGATTCTGGGCTTAAAACTTCACTCCTTGCTCAACCTTTCAGGATAACTAACTTTAAGTCACCATGTGGGGAGTGTATGGGGGGGTGTGCTCCCAAATCTCCTATTTTGTCCTTAAAGCACAGGGACCTACCTCCCTGTTAGCCCAGGTGCTGCTGGGGGTAGACATGGGCGTGTTTCTGCTTCCTCTCCCCTATCAGGTGGGCTCTATGGTTCTTCAAGAATGACCGTAGCAGGGCTTGGCAAGATAATCTGCATATGGTCACCAAGGTTGACACCGTGGAGGATTTCTGGGCGTGAGTGTGTGTCCCTTGGGGCCAGGCCAGGGGATTCTGAGCTGGGAGTTGCTTGTCACACATCCGTGACACCATCTCTGGGGCCTTTCAGCATTTGTTGAGGGATGGGGGAGGGTGTTCCTTTCCAGGAGGCATTGGGATTGGGCCACAGCCACCCCCTTGAAGCTTCTGAGGGCTTAGGGAGAGAGCTTAGGGAGTGGGAGAAGCCAGGAGCAGCCCACGCTGCCATTTCATGGCTCTGTGACCTGTGACCTGTGACCCTGGGCAAGTTCCTTCTCTCTGAACTTAGCCACACAGCGAGGATCAGGTTGCCTCAGAGTGTCTGGGGGCGATCAAGGGAGGTTATTTGAGAAGCGTAGCATAAACCCTAGGGGGGCCTTCACTGGAGGGGTGCACCAGGAGTCTCCCCAGGGTGCAGTCTTCACTGGACTTGGATGGTTGGGGAAGCTCCAGGGGGAAGGTGGGCTTTGAGGGAATTCCAAGCAGCAGGAACAGAGTGAGCACAAGCAGGAAGGCCCCAAGGTGGTGGGAATCAGTGGATCCCACAAGGAGTTGAGAGGGTTGGGGATCAGCTGGAACCCAGCCTAACAAACTTGACTTTCAGCATGGGGTGGGGGCTCTCTCCAGGATGTACAGTCATATCAAGCTGGCTAGTAAGCTCTCTTCTGGCTGTGACTACGCCATGTTCAAGGTGAGTTCTGTTCTCATGCCCTCCTTCCCCCCAAAAGGACAAGGGTTGGATTCTTCCCAGCTTCTGCAGCCATCCTCCCTCCAAGGAGAGGTTTTGGGGTGGAGGGAGCCGTAAACAGTCTTTTTCAGGGCAGAGGTGTGATTTCCGATTGGAGGGGCTGCTCTACAGAAGCCCACACAAAGCATGTCAGGCCTGAGCTGCACCTTGGAGAACACCCGAGTCTGGAAGGGCAGGGGGAGAGGGAAGAGTCCAGCTTTCTTGCTTGGCTTCTGAACACTCTCCTCCAGCCCTACCCTGGAGGTGCTGACATAGGCATTTACAGATTTCCCCCGGTGACTTCTGCCCAGTGAGGTTTGGTGATGTCCATCACTGCCCACAGAAACGTCTGCCCCAGAGGCCCCCTGTAGTGCTTCTGTTTGAACTCTTGTCTTAAGGAACCTGAATCAGTAAAGGATTTGCATGCACACATAGACAAGGCTATGAACAGTGACAAATTGGGTCAGGGTCCTGTGGGGCTCCAAAGGGGTCTCTCTGGTGGGCTGAGTGGCACCTGGTAGTGTAGAATGGAAGTTAGGAGAAAAGTTGGCCTATTTAGGGCCTGAGCAGAGGGCAGAGAAGGCAGCACGCAGAGGCAGCTGGGTCCCGCTTCCCTTTGAAGGAAGGGAGGTAGTTGACCTGCCGTCCGCCTTCCAGGATGGCATCAAGCCCATGTGGGAAGACAGCAGGAATAAGCACGGTGGCCGCTGGCTGGTCAGTCTCTCCAAGCAGCAGCGCCACATTGATCTGGATCGTCTGTGGCTGGAGACAGTGAGTGGTGGTGGCGGTGGGGGAAGGGTTCAGGGGAAGTGGTCTCAAGGGTGGTAGGGGCTGTCCCTGTGCCCACCTGGAAAGCTCACCATCCCCACTTTGGGCCCAGTTGCTGTGTCTGATTGGGGAGAGCTTTGAGGAACACAGCACCGAGGTGTGTGGGGCTGTCATCAACATCCGTACCAAGGGTGACAAGATTGCTATGTGGACGAGGGAGGCTGAGAACGAGGCCAGCGTCTTGCACATTGGGTGAGGGCTGGGTCCAGGGATGACATAGGGGTGGGGGGCTGGCTTGCAAGTGAGACCTCTGGAACTCGCAGTGCCTTCTCTCCATTCTTTTTTACCCACCAGTATAAAAGGAATGGGAATCTTCTGACGACTCATGTCTCCTTTGCTCTGTCTCTCTCTGCCCAGGCATGTATACAAAGAGCGCTTGGGTCTTTCCATGAAGACCATCATTGGGTACCAGGCCCATGTAGACGCGGCCACCAAGAGCAACTCCCTTGCCAAGAACAAGTTTATGGTGTGAGGGGGGTCTTGGCACCACTCTCAGTCATGTGGGGCCATCACCTCATAAGCCTCATCGCTGTGGTGTATGCAGGACTACACCATTGATCCTGGGCTGGAGGAGGGGGCAGACAGCCTGATTTTTACATATTCTGGAGTGCATATGAACACTTTTTCTTTTATTTTTTTGAGATGAGGCCTTTCTATGTTGCCTAGCTTAGCCTCAAACTCCTGGGTTCAAACAATCCTCCCACTTCAGCCTCCCCAGTAGCTGGGACTACTGGTGCTTACACCATGCCTGGGTTCATACAAATACTCTAACAGGTATTAGGCCCAGGCCCAGGGGCAGCTAGGTGGAAAAGTTTGAGTCCTTCCTTTTGCCTGGGAACATCGCAGAAGCAAGGTGCAAGAATCTCTTGGGTTTCCTTCTTTTACCTGGGGGTGGGATATGGGGTGGTCTTGGTAGGGGGCTTGATGACAAGATGACAGGTGAATTCTATGGTCCAGTACTTAATCTGTGCCCACTGGGAAGGGTGCTAGGTGGCCTGAGGGGGCAGCCTTTTCCATTTTGATGGAGGGGCTGGAGACCACTGATATGCTGAGAGTGGGAGTTCAGAGATGGGGTGTCTCCTCTTTGTGACCACTCTCACTGGATCTGTCAGTGCCCTTCCTGTATCCTGTCCCTTCCCTAGATCACCTGTGCTTGGGTCCCTGGAGTGGGGCAGCCCTTCCTGCCCCCCACTTCAAGTGTTGGAAGGCTGGAGGGAGAACCCAGCTATTTGTGTGTGTGTGTGTGTGTGTGTGTATATATATATATATATAGAGAGAGAGAGAGAGAGAGAGAGAGGTGGATGCTGAGAACTGAGAAGCCCTCAATGGCTTCTCACCTTCAGCCAGTGGTGTCTGCTTTGCCTGATTTAGGCCCAGGCCCTAGGACAGGAGCTTGATGGTAGTGGACGCCCTGTTCTACTTTTGTTAGAGGTGGATTCACCTGAAGATGATGAAGCTTAAGTTAGGTACTTCTTCTAAATAAATACTTCTTAACAAACTTGAAATTATTATTTTTATTTTGTTGTTGATGGACCTTTATTTCTTATTTGCTTATTTATATGTGGTGGTGAGAATCGAACACAGTGCCTCACACGTACGAGGCAAGCTGAGCTACAACTCCAGCCCCAAACTTGGAATTATTTTTAAAGAGGGCTCCAAAATTTTAAGATTCAGGCTCCCTCAAGCCCCCGCCCTGCCTGGAAGGAGCTCATGTGAGATTCTTAGGTACCAAGGAGGCCCACCAGGGTCCAAGCTGATATGAGGGAGAGGGGTTAAATTGGGAGACCTCAACCACCAAGGGGTGGGGGACAGGTTCCCAGCAAAACTGAAAGAGCAACAGGCTGGCACTCATAAGATTCAGGTCCTCGTTTGACCTGAGTCTGAGCAAGAATCAGCTGAATTTCTGTTGAATGCAATGCACGGTCTGTAATTAGACTTGCGACAGGTGTGTTAACCTTCGCCATCCGCTCACCAGCAGCTTTTACTCTAGACGGCAAGGGCGAAGACGGGGGTGCCGCTGGAACTGAGCCTTGCAGGGGCTGAGGGATCTGTAAATCTTCACGTGGCGGTCGCTGGCGCCCTCAGTATGCATCTCCTGCAGGTCTAAAGGACGCCAGGAGGTTGGTGGGGCGGTCTGTGAGAGGACTCTGAGGCCGACCTCCAGGGAGACAAACTCTGGCTGGGAGCGGAGCCAGGACCAGACGTAGGGCTCCGAGGGGGCGGAGTCCGGCTGTGGGTAGAGCCGACTCGGGGGCGGGGCCTCGGGGGCACCCAGCCGGGCTGTGGGCGGGGCGGGACGGGGGCGGGGCTCCGAGGGGACGGCTCTGCGCTCCAGGCGGGGCTGCCCGGGCGCCGGGGGCGGTCCCTGCGGGGCGGGCGGGGTCGGCCGGCGCTCTGTGTGGCCGCGGCCATGAAGCCGCAGCCGCCGGGCTAGGCCCGCGGCGGCTCGAGCCCAGGGCGGCCTGCTGGGGGCTGGGCCCGCTCGCCGGCTCCGGTTACCGGGCCGGAGGGTGGCCGCTCACCATGCCCGGCAAGCACCAGCACTTCCAGGAACCCGAGGTCGGCTGCTGCGGGAAATACTTCCTGTTTGGCTTCAACATTGTCTTTTGGGTGAGCACGGGGTCGGCTTCGGGCCCTGTGCTGGGCTTGTGGAAGGAGGTCCAGTCCCTGCTCCGAGAGCTCGCGGCTCAGACCGTCCCCGTCTCCTTCCTCTCACCCCGGCTCCGAGTCCTCGGACCACCCGAGCGAGCCCCGAGAGGCCTGGATTGCTAGGGGGCGGGACCCTCCGCAGCGGGGCTCGGAGTCTCCCGGTGTGACCCCAAGGCCCAGTGGCGGAAGAAGTGTTTGCCTCCAGACCCCAGGGCCATGCTGTACGTGGGTTGGCCCCTCTCTTGCCCCACCCCCTTGTGGGGAGAAGAATCCCTCCCCGGATTTGTTGGAGGGGACAGTCTGGCCTGTCCTCCCCTCCTAGCTCCTCCAGCACCGGGGATGGATGCCTCGCCCTAGGCTTCCGCAAAGTGGGGTGGGTCACAGCCCTCTCCCTACCGCAGCGGGTAACAGGAGGCAGGCGGGCAAGGGCAATAGCCGAGTCCTCAGCTGCAGAGTGAGGAATCTCCCCTCTTCGGAGTCCGGGTGCTATCCCTGGGGAACGGAATGCAGCATTCCACAGCTGACCGAACCCAGGCTCGCAAGCCGCGTTGCCCCTGCTCACAGAAGGGAGCTGCTTGTGCCTCTCCCAGAGTGGCATCTGTGCCCCTGGCCCTGCCGAGTCATCTTTCCTTTCTCCCTCCCCCATCCCATGTCCAAAGCTGCCACCTCTGCAGTCTGTTTCCCAAGCCTTGTGTCAGAATGTCAGGCCTTGTCACTTGTGGTCAGTAGGATTCAGTGGCACCGTCTTTGACCCCCGTGATGCTGAAGCTTGCCTCTCTGGTGGATGTCCTTCACTGGTGCTCAACTCTGGAGGTTGTGGGCAGTGTGCAGGGAGCACTGGTCAGGGTCAGGAGGCCTGGGTATAGGAGGCTTAGCTGGGAGGCCTTAGGTAAGTCGCCCCTCCTTTCTGAGTCTCAGCTTTCCAGCCAAGGAGCGTGTGATTTGAAGTTTGCCCCCTAGGTTAAATGAGTTTTAATGAGTTGTATTCTCTCAACTACCTTATTGCTCATATTTTGTAGATGGGGTAACTGATGGAATAGACATGGAAAGGTTAAGTCATTTATCTATGGTCACATAGCCAACTAAGGTGACAGCTGAGTAGCAGTAGGTGCTGGTGAGGGAGAGTAGTGAACAAGAGGTAACCCCCAGTGTCAAGGAGGAGAGGTAGGAGAGACCCAGCTTTGTTCTGGGGGCCTGGGCAGGGGATTGAGGATGAGTTGAGCATTTGGATTTTGTGTTAGGGCAGCATAGAGTAGTAAGGGCTTCATGGTGGGATTAATGGTCTGACCTGACTTGTACTGAAGCAACTATGTCTGGCTTGGAGGGGCAGGCCCTGGAGGTGGGGAAGACAGAGAGGCGGCCTGGGACATAGCTTCATAGCTGGCAGACCGGAGAAGGGCAGTGGCATTGGAGAAAGCTCCAAGAAGAGCCCAAGGCTGAATTGACAGGACTGGGCCACTTGTGAGGGAGGGGATGGATTTCAGCTTTGGTTCAAGGTGGCCCAAGGGAGATGCCTATGAAACAGGCCCAGAGACTTTTTTCTTTTTTGGCTCTGGTAATGGAACCCAAGGCTTCATGCATACAAGATAAGTGCTTTACCACTGAGCTACATTCCAGCCTTTATTTGTTTTATTTTTAAAAATTTTTGATGTCAAGCAGATCTGGTGTTGCCATGCTTGGAATCTTCTCATTGTTTTTCACTGTTCTAGAATACAGCTGATAGCCAGTTGTCATGGTGCATGCCTGTAAACCTAGCAACTCGGGAGGTGGAGGCAGGAGGATGTCTTGCCTCAGCAACTTAGCAAGGCCCTATGCAACTTAGTGAGACCATGTCTCAAAAATAAAAAAGGACTGGAGATGTACTCACTGGTAAAGTACCCCTGGGTTCAATCCCCAGTACCTACTACCACTAATAGCCCACATTTTTGTTCTGTGGCCTTCAGTGCCCTGTGGCTTCTGGCCTTGGCACCCTTCAGCATCACCACACATGATCTTACTCAGGCCTTTGTCGAGCCCTCTGACTGGAATACTCTCTTCCCTTCAAACATCATTCAAACCTCAGCTAATGTGCCCCTGTCCCTCTAGTCATCTAAAGCATGTTTGCATCCCCTGGTCTGATTTTCTTGAAAGGATCTGTGGGTACCTGACATGTCTTTGTTTGCTCACGTCTCTTTCTCCCGCATGGCGTAAGCTTCATGAGGGCTGAGAGCTTGTCTGTTCTGTTGGCGGGTGTATTCCCAGCACTTGGAACAGTGCCTGGACACCGAGGTGTTTGCAGCAGGAAGTTTGAACATAGGGGTCTGAAACCTGGGAGAAGTTCGTGTGGAGCTCTGGGGATGCCAGTGTTATGGAAGGGTGGGAAATGGGTATGAGGAGGAAGAAGGGTGGAAGGCTAAGTTTGGACTCTTGGGGGCATGGCTGTATGTATGGGGTAGGGGAAGGCAGAGAGTCCTGGGAAGGAGTCTGAGAAGAAGCAGTGGAGGAAGGGGGTTGAGTTAACCAAGGAGTGCTTTAGGAGAAAGTGTTGGCTGGTCCCCAGTCCAAAAGCTGGGGGCTGGTTAAGTGTGGTGAGGCAGAAGAGGTAATATTTGCTTGCACATCTTTGGACCCAGTGTGGAGGAGGGAAGGAAAGATGTTTCCAGAGAGAGTACAGTAGTGGGTGGAACCTACTGTCAGAGAAGGGAAGGGTGGTCAGGGGTTCCTTTGACATTTTGTCAGGCCCTTTGAGAAAATGAGAAGGCCACAGAGCAGTGGCTGTCTCTGTACTCTCTGGTGGAGTCTCCTGAATCTGGATGTCTAGGGACTTACCCAGGATCAGGCATGACAGAGTGGTTGACCTTAACTTTCAGAGCTCTTTCCAGTGAGGAATTGAGGCAGGTGGTGGGAAAGATGAGGGTGGTGCCAGGGGCTGTCTAGGTGGACATAGCTGGTATTAAGAAGGCCCAGGCAGAGCTGTGGTGAGATGTTTCCTAGGGGTAGGCTGGGGCCCCTTAGCAGGACCCTACTCTGCACTGAGATTCCTCATCATTTGGGAGTTACTGGTTGTGAGTTTTGGACGCTCTCATCATAAGATGCTGGGGTGTAGTTTGGTGCTTGAGAGCTTGCTCAGTATGTGCAAGGCCCTGGGGTCAATCCCCAGCACTGCCAAAAGCAACAATAAAAAACCCATGATGGGAGATGACCTGGAAGCTATGGAGGAGGGTCAGATGGCAGACTCAGGGCTGCAGGGCTGCAGGAAGGCTGGGTTTGGGAATGGGCAGAGAGGAGGCTAGGGGGGTGGCGCTGCAGCATGGGCCTGGGATACGAGCAGGGGCTCAGTAAGCTGCTCTTGCTTCTGGGCAGAAGTATATGTTCTACTTTAAAGTTCCAGGAAGGGACTCCTGAGGTCCTTCTTGAGGCTATGGGTGGCTTCAATCCTTCACGCTATCCTGTGGGGAAGAAACACTGAGATGTGGCCTTGGGAAGGTGGATAGGACTCTAGATTCCATTCACAGCCCGGGTCCCTCTTTCTCCCCTGGCTTCCTGAAGGCTCCTGAGTACTAGGGAAGGATGAGTGAGTGTCCTGGTGCTAATGTCCACCCCTGAGCTCTCTGCTGTTGGTTTTGCAGGTGCTGGGAGCCCTGTTCCTGGCCATTGGCCTCTGGGCCTGGGGTGAGAAGGTAAGGTATTGGGGTAGGGTTTGGGACTGCCCTTGGGGTGAGGCTGTGGGAAGACCAGCCTCTCATACCTGCCTCTTCTCCCCCTGCACAGGGAGTTCTCTCGAATATCTCAGCGCTGACAGATCTGGGAGGTCTCGACCCAGTATGGCTGTTTGTGGTGGTTGGAGGTGTCATGTCTGTGCTGGGTTTTGCAGGCTGCATTGGAGCCCTCAGGGAGAACACCCTCCTGCTCAAGTTTGTAAGTGTCCCCATCCATTGGAGACCCAGCCTCTTCCCATCTGGTCCTTGCAGTATAGTTGGTGCTTAGTAACAGGTAGCTTTGTTGTTATGCTATTGTCATCATTAGATTCATGTGGTCTATATTTGTTAGGATTCTTTTTGTTGTTAAGTGCCCGCAATCCAGTGGCCTAAGCATGAAAAGTGTATTTATCGGCTCATGTGAAAAACAGCAACAACAAAAAACAAACCAGGGGTATGCTGTCCACAGGTCACTTAGCCAGGTCTCTGTTGGTTCCATTCCCTGTGGGTGGAAAGAAACTCAGGAATAGGTGCTGGCTTCACCCTGACCTTCCAGGAACTCCTACTGGAGGCTCTGGGTACTCTTCTCTCAACTCCTCTCTGAGTACTTCAATTGTATGTCCTTGGCTCTGATTGGCTGTCTCTGGACCAATCCCTATGGGCTAGGAGGAGGTAGTGCTCTGATTGGTGGGATGGTGGCACTGTCCAGTTCAGTATCTGGGCAAAGCCCAGTTCAGTGTCCCCGGAGTCAGAAGAGAGCTGGAGCTGGCTCCATTTGAAACCTAGAACTGATCTTATACACGAGGGTGATTTTTCAGGAAAGCAAGTGTAATTACCAAAGGATGGGTAGGTAATGATGGCACTGTCTTTTATCATCCTAAAACTACACTAAGGGGGTAGGGGTGGAGCTCAGTGGCAGAGCGCTTGCTAAGGGTGCATGAGTCCCTGGATTCTTTCACCAGCACCAAAAACAAAACAGAACACCCCCTCAAAAAAAAAAAACCCAAAACCTCTCTGCCAATATCACTGCCTTCCTGTAATTTGCCAAAATGACAAACCCAAAGGGAAAGAGAGGAACCCGCTGTTCTCTAGGCCTTTTAGGAAACACGGAGTCGTTCCTTTGGCCATATGTATGTGAATCTACAAGAACTGTGATATTGTGAACATTGAGGGAGTGGATACTGTTCAAAAACGAATGCCCTACAAATGTTACCATGACAGAACTGGAAGAGTCTACAGTGTTACCCAGCATGCTGTTGGCATTATTGTAAACAAGCAAGTTAAGGGCAAGATTCTTGCCAGGAGAATTAATGTGCATATTGAACATATTAAGCACTCTTAAAAGCCAAGACAGCTTCCTGAAATGTGTGAAGGAAAATGATCAGAAAAAGAAGGAAGCCAAAGAGAAAGTTACCAGGGTTCAGCTGAAGTGCCAGCCTGCCCCACCCAGAGACACAAACTTTGTGAGAACCAGTGGAAACTAGACTGAACTGCTGGAACCTATGAATTCATGTCATAATAGATGAGGGGGGAAAAGAAAGTACTGAGGACTATTTTTTTTTTTTTAAGTAAACAGTACTAAAATAATGGAGGATGGGGACTGGGGACTCTGGGGATTCTGGGTTCCCTTGAGTTTTGGTGGTAGAACTCTTCCCCCTGGCAACCTCAGAGCCCTGCACCTCTGACCCCCACCATATGTGTGTCCCCAATCCAGTTCTCTGTGTTCCTCGGCCTCATCTTCTTCCTGGAGCTGGCAACAGGGATCCTAGCCTTTGTCTTCAAGGACTGGATTCGAGACCAGCTCAACCTCTTCATCAACAACAACGTCAAGGCCTACCGGGATGACATTGACCTCCAGAACCTCATTGACTTTGCTCAGGAATATGTGAGTGCAATATCCAGCATGGGTCAAATGAAGGAGGTGCCTGATGGGCACAAAGAGAGAGGGTGCAAGTTCTCTGTGTGATAGGAGTGCCCCCCACTGATCCAGGCCAACACACCCCAGGGAGGAGACCCAGGAGTGCCCCATCCCATTAGAAGCCAGTTTCTGATGATCCCTGTAGGACACAGATTTGGGAAACAGAGACCAGAGGGTCACAACTGGCAGCTTTCAGTTCAGGGCTTATGACACACTTAAATGGGGGAAATTTGACATTAAAATATTGACTTTCTCTTCTACTGACTCTTGAGCTCAAAGTATCAGTCAGGACTACTTGCTACTACCACCTTTAATGGAAGAGGGGCTGTGTTTGCCACTGATCCTAGCACTTGTGTTTTGTTACACCTGTCAATCTTCTCTCATTTATATCATACTCACATTACTTAAAGTTGGAGATACAGTCTGAGAAATGCATTGCTAGGTGATTTCATCATTGTGCAAACATCACAGACTGTACTTACCTAAACCTAGAAGGTCCACACAGGTCAACTTGACATGGCCTCTTGATATAAACAAGAGACTGAGTGAACACAGATGGGTTATGCTGATGCTAGTGTAATATGGTATAGTATTTTTCAGCGATTTTTTTTTTTTTTTTTTTTTTTTTTTGAGATGAGGTCTTGCTGTTTTGCCCAGAGTGGCCTCAAATTCCTGGTAATCTTCCTGCCTCAGCCTCACAAGTAGCTGGGGCTACAGGTGTATGCCACTACACCCATCTTTAAACTTTTTTTTTTTTAAATACATAGAAGGAATCGGCTCTAAAATAATGATAGTATAGTCAATACGTAAACCAATAACATAGTTGTTTATTGCCACTACCAAGTAGTATGTGCTGTACATAATTGCATGTGCTGTACTTTTATATGACTGACAGTGCAGCTGTCAGTGAACTATGTTCAGCTTCTGAACATAGTTTGAGATCCCCACTGCAGCCCTGTTCTCACTTGCAAACTTAAGCCCTGTAGGGAAGCAGCCAGAAAACAGTTCCCAAAATCTTAGATGCCTCCCACTTGCATGTTCTTGTCCACTCACACCCACACACAGTCACACACTCACAGTCACCTGATCACACCCACTTACACAGTCACATGTCCTTGATGCCATCTACCACCAAGAGTCAGCTCTGGGACCCAGAAATGGACTAGAGCTGGTGCCTTCCTCGAGGAGCTCAACCTAATGCAGAGGCAGACATGTAGGCAGGGAGCTGCAGTGGGATTCATTTGTTCAATCAGCACAGAATTGTGAAGGGTGCACCCTGTGCCAGGCCCTGGGCCAGGTGCTGGGAATTCAGTGGTGAAGAAAGATGGAACTTGTCCCCTTGGGAATGGCGTCAGGAGAGACCGATGATAATAAACAAAACAGGTGCGTGTGTGTATGTGTGTGTGTGTGTGTGTGTGTGAGAGAGAGAGAGAGAAAGAGAGAGAGAGAGAGAAATCATGGTAAGGGCTAAAAACGAGAAGGGTGAAGAGAAAACCTCTGAATGGTGACCTGGAAGCCTCTCTGTGAAGAAGCAGCGGTGTGGAGAGTGGGGACTGTTGTCCTGCAGCAGGGACAGCAGGCACCGAGCCAGTGAGAGGGCACAGGTGCAGGCTAAGCTGTGCCCTGAGACCTGCACACACACAGCCACATGGCCCTGCCTCACTCCTGTGGCTTTGCCCTTGGGGCCTGCCTGTGTGCCCCTGAGCTGGTCCCTCACCTGCCTTTGAGCCCCAGCCTTTGTGGGTGGCTTTCCTGTGGCACATGTTGTCTGCTTTCAATTGAGTGCAGGGCCCTGGCTCAGCCGCCAGATGGTGGGCTCTTGGGTTATTGCAGGCCTCACACTGGCCATTGCCCCTGCCTAGGGGGCAGTGTGGAATGTTCTAGGAGAGGGGATGGGGCCTCGGGGTGATGCCAGCAAGTGATAATGAAGTGGAAACAGTGTGTGTGTGTGGGAGGGCTGGGCAGGATTCCTCCCCTGTCCTTGCACCATAAAAAGAGAACTTAGTCAAATCTCTGGAGCAAATGTGGCGAGATCCAGTGCAGTTCAGTGGATCAGGGTGCCTCTGTCGCAGGGGGCTTGGTCCAGCTCCTGTCTCAGGGCGATTCAGAAGAAGCCATGATCCTCAAGCTCCCTCCCTTCCTTTCTCCAGCCTCTTAGGTTAGGGGGACAAGCTGAGGGCCCCCTTCCCTGTACCCCATGACTCCCACCAGCCTGGAGCTCTAGGCTTCTGTCCACTCTGATCCCTGTGGATCCTAGCCTGTCTACTGTGGGGGTGGGGAGGTGCCCACTTGCCTGGCTGTCTCTAGACCCCTTCCTACCCAGCCTTGTCTCCCTGTGGCCTGGGCTTCTTATCCCCAAACAGAACCAGGCACCCAGGGTGGGCCTGGCTCCCAGCCATGGGCCTGGCTCACCTGGGCTTTCCTCTGCCCCACAGTGGTCTTGCTGCGGAGCCCGAGGGCCCAACGACTGGAACCTCAATATATATTTCAACTGCACTGACTTGAACCCAAGCCGGGAGCGCTGCGGGGTCCCCTTCTCCTGCTGCGTCAGGGACCCTGCGGTGAGTGGGGCTGGAGGAGGGGTGGGGGCGTTACAGGGTACAGACCCTGTCTGAGAAAAACCCACCCTAGGGCCCCACCTGGCTCTGCCTTGCCCTGGGGATGTGGGTATTGGGGGAGGTCACTTCACTGGGGCAGTTGGTGCTGGTCACTGAGGCCTGCTGGGGCTGGGCCTTTCCCCACTTCAGCAAAACCTGTGTCTGATTTTACCAAGACGGTAACAGAAGGAACCTGGAGGGTAGGGACTGGTCCTGGGGCCTTCCTGCAGCCCGTATTACTATACACAGCTCCGGGGACCAGCTGAAGGCTGCCTGGGGCTGGCATCACACTCGGTCACAGGTGTGTGTGGAAGGGGTCTCCCTAGCCATAGCCGCCACCACCCCACCAGGCCAGCAGGCCAGTATGACCAGGGGCAGGCAAGGGGTCTGGGGTGGGAGGTTCTGACCCCTTATGGCTTTGTTCAGAGCAGAAATTTCTCACAGTGACATGCATGCGGTAGAAGTTCATCTGTGACCCCAAGGACCAGGTGTCTCTTCATTCTTATAAAACTCAAGGAGACAGGATTCCAGATAAATGGGCAGCAGGCCCAAGCTGCAGCCACACGCCCTGGTGTCTGGGAGAGAGGCAAAGGTGCCGGGGGAGCCTTGCTTCAGTGTGGTGTGCCATGGCACAATCCCTGGTTTCGTTTGCTTCCTTGAGAAAGAGAGACCATTGTTTTGCTTGGGCACCACGGGCCCCTGTGGGATGGATGCCCCTTACTGAGGCACTAATGGCTTGTTTCCCCTCAGGAGGATGTCCTCAACACTCAGTGTGGCTACGATGTCCGGCTCAAAGTGGTGAGATGGTTGGGGACAGGGCTGGGATCAGGTGGGGACACTGAAAAGCCTCAGGAATTCTATGGGACTAGGGGGGGTACCGGAAATCCTGGACACCAGGGCATGGTACTGAGGGGACTGGGCCTGTGAGCTCTGCATGGGTGACGTTGCTCATTTCACCTCTCTGTGGACCTGCTATGTGGCCAGCTTTTCCCTAGACTTAGAGATTCAGTGCTGATAAGACAGAGTCCCTGTGCTTGTGGAGGGAGAAAGGCACCAAGCTCATGGATACATAAGACAGTCACGTGCCAATTTTGGCTGAGAAGCTGGAAGGTGAGGGGAAAGGGGCTGGGTGCTCAGGAAAGGCCTGTCTCCAGAAGAGGCATCCATGTTGAGACCTCATGGGAGAGCCGGGGAGGCAGAGACCCTGCAGCAGAGCTCCGGGGAGCAGGTGCTGCCGGCCAGGGACCTGGGGCAGGGATGAATTTCGCAGGCTGAAGGAGGGAGGGGCGAGGGGCGGAGGCGAGGCTGAGTGGCAGGCAGGCCAAGCCTGGTTTCTGTGTGCGTTAGGAGCTGGAGCAGCAGGGCTCCATCCACACCAAAGGCTGTGTGGGCCAGTTTGAGAAGTGGCTACAGGACAACCTGATCGTTGTGGCTGGCGTCTTTGTGGGCATCGCCCTCCTCCAGGTACTGCCATAGCCCCACGTGCCCCTCCCCTTGCCCAGTACCTGCTGCCCCTCCTTCGCCTGCCCTCTGTCTTACAGATCTTTGGCATCTGCCTCGCCCAGAACCTCGTGAGTGACATCAAAGCAGTGAAGGCTAACTGGTGAGGCTGCTGCAGGACATGGCCACATGCCTGGCCTACCAGGCCGCTGGTGGGGACCCCCAGGACCCTCCCACTGTATGGGCAAGGCCACAGGAGGTTTCTACTTGGACCTGAGCCCCAAAGATTTTTGTGAGCTGGGTTGCACTGTCTGCCCACAGAGAAGGCCATTTTGGCTCTACTGGGGCTGCTTGTCTTACAGCTCTGTACGTGGAGGGTGTGCATTTGTATTTGTGCACAGGGAAGCCACCATGTGTGGGTGCTGGCATAGTGGGCTCTCCAAGGGACTAGGAAGGGTGCAGTCAAGGGGGTGCAGGCCAGATCAGTGGGAGGTGCTGCTGTGGTACTCTGTGTGCCTGCTCCACCCCACGCTGGGGTGCATGATTGTGTGGGGTGGGCTTTGGGGCGTTGCCCGGGCCACTGCCTCACACAATTCCAGAGCGCTCTTCTCTACTAGCTATGCTCTTAAGCCTGCCAGGAGCCCACCTTGGCCTCAGTGTCTGACTCTGAAATGGGTCCAAGAATTTTCTTTCTCTCACTTGCCTCTCAGGATCAAACATGATGATGGCTACAAACTACTCAGATAAAACTTTGAAAACCACTGGCTTGTGCCGACCAACTTGGAGGTTCTGTCAGCTGTGGGACCTCAACAGAGCTCTCCAGTGAGGGCCTTTGGCCCAGACCCAACCTCTCTACAAGGTGTCTTTGGCCTGGGTAGTTTGTGCATTTGAGACAACCTTTAAAATTTGGTACATTTCACATAGAAGTCCAGATTCCTTGCTTCTCTTGAAGAATGACCATTGGGCCACACCAGCTCTTCAGTGGCAGCATTACCTGGGACATAAAGCTTCCTTGGTCACTGAGGTCCCGCCTGGCCTATTCTCACCTAAGTGCCCTGCCTCACCCCCAGTAGGCTGGGAGTTGGCTTCCCCTGCCTCTGGATTATTCCCTGAAAATGTCACAAAGCTACTGTGGCCAAGATTCCAGCAAAGCACAGGGATATGAAGAACCGCGATGCTGGACCCCATCCCGCAGAGGGTCTACCTGGAAGGAGTCTGGCCCTGCTGGGGACTGAGGTGGGTGAGAGAATGCCCAGGGAATGGCTGAGTGGTGGGATGGGAGTCAAGAAGATTTTGCAAAGGAAGCAACTGGAAGCCCAAAATATGGCCCCATGGAGTTGAAAGGAACCTGTTTTGGGGTTGGTTCCTGGGCTTGGAATCGGGTTTGAAAATCTTCCCTGTTGCCTGCAGAGCTATCTGGTGGCCACCAGAGGGCGCTCCAGCACAGCATTCCGTGGGTCTGGCTTCTTCCTCTCGAAACCTCGCTCACCCCAATGGAGCCAAGGGCCTACCCTGCTTATTAGTGCTTCCAGGCTTGCAGATTTGAAAACCTTTAAAGAAGCAAACTAGCTCAGGCTTGGGAAGTCTGCCTCTTATGTGAAGGGGTGTGTGTGGAATGACTCTGCCGTACCCCTTCCTGGGCCACAGATGAAGAGGGGGAGGTGGCAGGCTAGTACAGAGGTCTGGATTTCAGAGGCCCTCGGGCCTGGTGGATTATACAAGTGAGTGAAGATGGTTTTAGAGTCTGAGGCCTGCTTCAGTCTGACTTGACCACCTGAAGACCAGACACAGAGACATTGTACTTTGTGACAAGAGGAACGTTTGTGCAGTCCAGTTGAAAATGGCAACTTGCCTTGGAGAACAGTATGTCATGGGGGCTGTGGCAAAATACAGGTCTTCATCTTAAGGTGGTAGCTGCTATTCAGTTGTGGCTGGCTCCTGTGATATGGGAGCCGGCAGAAATACAGAGAAGCCACAAACCCAGATTTTGATGTGAGATAGTCTGGATTTTAAGTTGTTGGCAACTAGTTAAAAAAATCAACTCTGTAAGCCAAACAAACAGCATAGGGCCCAACTTTGGTCTCTGTGCCACCGTAGATCCCTTGGGGACAGTCCCCACTGGGGCCTGGCTGCTTAGCCATTCAGATGTGCTGGGAGCTGCTGTCATGCAGCAGGTGTGAGGCACACACCCAGCACTGTTGTTCACCGCGCAGGCTGGACGGGGCCCCAGGGTTCCTGACAGGCATTGACTGGGTGTTTTGTTCATGCTACAATAAATGCAGCTCAAAATACTCTGTGTGTGCCTTGCATTTTCTAATTTCAAATGTCTTTGCTTTCATTTTCTTCCGCAAATCTCACAACACCCTTGTGAGGTGAAGTTTCTTTTCCTGATGAGGAAACTGGGACTCGAGGGGGAGGAAGGTCATGCAGAACACACATCGGGGAGGAGGCACAAGGCCTGACCTCGAGCCAGAGGTTTGCACCACACCCATCATGCCTTCTTGGTACATCTAGGTGAAACCTGTGTACAGAGTATCCACCACCAAGGGCTGTAACGAAACCTTCAACTCCTAAGGGGAGTAGGACATTTACTTTAGATGCTGGATACCCAGAGAAGAGAGAAGGGCAAGGTCCGTACCTTGTGCTGCTGTCTCATGGGGGAGAGAAAACAAGAGGGCACACAGTTTGGTTAGTAATATGTGCTGTGAAGAAAATAAGTGATTGCCAGCGAGCCTGGGAGGGGCCGGGGGAGGAGGCACCATCTCTGGGAAGCTCTGGGGGAAGTGTTCTAATTTTGGTACCAGCTTCCACAGAGTCCCTGAAGCCATGGTGGGCTTGTGTAAGAGAGCCGGGAGAGGGGGGAGTGGATGAGGGAGAGAGGGAAGTGGTGGAGCCAGGATATCTGGAGACAGGATTGGCAAGATGGGGTGGTAATGCTGGGTAGGACTGGTGCCCTGGCTGGGCCCAGAGTTCTCCAAAGCTCAGTTACTACAAGACATCCATTCTTCATCCACCTGTCGAGCTATTCATCCACCCACTCGCCTGTCCACGTACCTGTCCATCTATCTGTCCATCTATTCACTTGCTTGTACCCCACCTGCTATTATCCACTCAGGCGCTGACCAGGGGCCAGGGTTCTGTGCCCCTGCCCTCCCTTTTTCCATAGGTCCTTGGCATAGGCAGACGGGGAGCGACGGGCTACTGGGGCAGTGAGTGCAATGTGAGAGGCATGTGATGACCACAGCTAGCTGTGATCACAGAAGGACACGGAACACTAGGGGCCCTTACCTGCAGCCAATAGCTTTCCATATATGCAGAAAGTAAATGTGTAAGGCTCTTCCCATCCATTCCTCTAGGTGGGTCCCTGGGCCATGGGGACCAAGATCACCCTCCTGCCCTTTGTCAGGTTGGAATGCACGTTGGTAGTGACACGGGTGGCAGGTTATGTCTGCTAGCCTGGGAGCTCTGGAGCTCTGGACCTGCCTAATCTAACCACAGGGGAGGCTACCAGCAGATTCCCCATCATCTGTGATACTAGGCTACCCCAGATGTCTGCAAGAGCTCAAGTGCTGAAGTGAAGAACCAGACGGGAATGAGAGCTGGGGCGACAAGGCCCTGTGAGGTGGTCATAAGGACTGAAGAAAGATTACCACTGGTGGGGGCTGGGATGTGGCTCAAGCGGTAGCGTGCTCGCCTGGCATGCGTGCGGCCCGGGTTCGATCCTCAGCACCACATACAAACAAAGATGTTGTGTCCGCCAAATACTAAAAAATAAATATTAAAAAATTCTCTCTCTCTCTCTACCTCTATCTCTCTCACTCTCTCTTTAAAAAAAAAAAAAAAGAAAAAAGAAAGATTACCACTGGTGAAGGCAAGCATGTTCCTTGGAGACGCCACTCCAGAAGGCCACCAGGGGGCACCAAAGCTCAGCCCATGCAGCACAGTGGCTCCGCTCAGCAAGCTGCTCCAGGTGTAGGGGTCATTGTGGGGCGATCCCCATAGCCAAGCAAGGCCACACCACTGTTCTAGAGTCCTGGGAGCCCACCCGGTTAGTAACAAATCCAGACTTTGCCTTCTTCTGGGACTTGGAGCAAACAACACTGCCAGCCCCATGGATGCCTCTCCCAGTGCCCAAGGAAACCCAAGCTTGCGTTCAGGGCTGTCAGTGATGCCAGACCTGGAGAAAGTGTGTGTAATGGTGGGTGTCACTTTATTTTTTTGAGGCTGAAGTAGCACTACACCACTATTTATTCACATATCCCTCCCTTTATTCACCCAGAAAGTACCTACTATGTGCCAGGCACCATTGTAGGCACTTGGGATACATAAGGGAACAAAATAAAGATAACATACATACACTGGCCACAGAGCTGTGCAGAGCAGGCATTGCAGACTTTGTCTGCAAGGGGTCAAAGCGATACATTTTAGACACATGCTACACAATCACTCAGTTTCACCTTCATGGAAGAAAGCAGCAAGGTAAACCTGGTGCAGTGGCTCCAGAGGCTGAGGCAGGAGCATCATGAGATCAAAGGCAGCCTGGGCAACTTAGTGAGGTCCTAAGCAACTCAGTGAGACCCTGTCTCAAAATATAAAAAAGGGCTGAGGATGTGGCTCAGTGGTTAAGTGCCCCTGGGTTCAATTCCTAGTACAAAAAAAAAAAAAAAAAAAAAAGAAAAAGAAAAGAAAAGAAAGAAAGAAAAGAAAAGAAAACTCCCCAACAACAACAAACACAGCAAGGTGTAAACAAACAGGCCAGGTTTTGCTCCAGTAATGCTTTATTTAGAATGCTGGAATTTGACTTTCATCTAACTATCATCCTTCTTTTAATTTTTTTTTTGGGGGGGTACCAGGGATTAAACTCAGGGCCACTTGAGCACTGAGCCATATCCCCAGACCTTTTTTTTGTGTGTGTATATTTTATTTAGAGACAGAGTCTCACCGTTGCTGAGGCTGGCTTTGAATTCAAGATCTTCCAGTTTCAACCTCCCGGGCTGCTGGGATTACAGGTGTTTATCATTAAAAATTAGAAAACTGGGGGCTGTGATTGTGGCTCAGTGGTAGAGCGCTCGCCTAGCACCCATGAGGCACTGGGTTCAAACTTCAGCACCACATAAACATGAAATAAAGATTTTAAAAAAGTAAAAGAGGAAGAAGAGGAATCTGTTTTCTCTTCTTTCCTGTGACCATTTTTTTAAAAAAGAAAAAAAAATTAGAAAACTGTATCTTTAGCTCTCAAGCTAGATTAAAAGAGGCTCATGGGTGAGTTGGCTGACCTCTGCTCTACGGTGAAGATCATAATGGGGAATTGACCTGTGGGGGGCGCTGTGTGCCATGGAACCATTAGAGCCAGGAAGGAGTGTGGGGAGGGCATCTGCCAGGTGGTGCAGGCCTTGAGGTTTGTGGGGGTGGTCAGAATGGGCCTTGCTGAAAAAGCAAAAGGAGCAAACACCTCTTATTTGAATTTTAAGATTTTTTAAAATAACACAAGTAAAATAGGAACCCATTCCATTTTTTTTTTTTTTTTAAATGGATGAAACTAAAGTCTCTTTACTATTCTCTTCTGGCCCCTTTCAGGCTCTCCCTGTGTAGGCTATCCAATTGTCCCCCAGTTTCTATGGAGGGTTGGTTCCAGGAACCCTTCAGATACAAAAATCCATGGGTGCTGAAGTCCCTTTCACATAAAATGGCATGATATTATATAGTATAACCTATGTGCATCATCCTATTATTATTATTTTGGGGGTACTGGGGATTGAACTCAGGGGCACTCAATCACTGAGCCACATCTCCAGCTCTATTTTTTAAATTTAGAGACAGGATCTTGCCGAGTTGCTTTTGCTGAGGCTGGCTTTGAACTCACAATCCTCCTGCCTATAATGCTTCAATACATGTATGCATTGCATAATGTTTAAATCAGGTTAGAAATATTTCCTCAGAATTTATCATTTCTTTGTGATGAAACTTCCAAAATTCTTTCTTCTAGCTTTTTGAAATCTACAATACATTATTGTTATTTATGAGATAAACTTTTTTTTTTTTTAAATGAAGTACTGGGGATCAAACTCAGGGGTCTCTACCACTGAGCTAGGTCCCTAGCTCTTTTTATTTTTTTCATTTTGAGACAGGATCTTGCAAAGTTGCCCAGACTGGCCTTAAACTTGCAATCCATCTATCTGCATCAGCCTCCTGAGTAGGGAGAATTAAATGTGTACATCCAGGTATCAAGCTTATGAGGTCAACTTTTCAATTAATTTAATTATTTTTGGTACTGGGAATTGAAACCATGGGGAACTACCACTGAGCCACATCCCCAGACCTTTTTTTAAAAAAAGTTTTTGTTTTTGAGACAGGGTCTCACTAAGTTGCTTAGGCCCTTGGTAAATTGCTGAGGCTGGTCTCGAACTAGCAATCCTCTTGCCTTAGCCTCCCAAGTCTCTGGGATTACAGACTTTGGCCACCATGCCCAACTCAACTTTTAAATTTAATCAATTCATTAATGACGTTGGTGCTGAGGATCAAATCCAAAGCCTGTGCCTCTAGACAAGTACTCTGCCACAGCCCTGAGATCAACTCAGATTCCACATATGGGTGAAGTCACGCGGTACTTGTATTTCTGTCCCTTATTTCACTTAACATAATTTCCAGTTCCATGCATGTTCCCATAAATGATAAGATTTCATCCCTTTTGATGGCTTCTCCCCTATACTTCAAACCATCTTGGGATTACTTATGATTCCAAATATGACATAAATGCTGTGTCAATAATTATTATACTGTATTGTGTGGAAATAATAATGAGGAAAAATGTTCGTACCTGTTCCGTACAGACACAGCCATCATTTGGGGGTACTGGGGATTGAACTCAGGGGCACTCAATCACTGAGCCACATCTCCAGCTCTATTTTTTAAATTTAGAGACAGGATCTTGCCGAGTTGCTTTTGCTGAGGCTGGCTTTGAACTCACAATCCTCCTGCCTATAATGCTCCACAGTCCACATCAGGAACAAGGGAACATTTTTTACCAAACATTTTCCATTTGTGGTTGGTTGAGCCCTTGAATGCAGAACTCAAGCATGTATACAGAAGGCCAACTGGACAAACTTAAATCTTTTCACCTTTAAAAAATTTTGTATTTGTGGGGCTTGGGGTTATGGCTCAGTGGTAGAACACTTGCCTCACACCTGCAAGGTCCTGGGTTTGAGCCTCAGCACCACATATAAATAAAATAAAGTTATTGTATCCAACTACAACTACAAAAAATATTTTTAAAAAAACTTACACTCATATT